CTGACTCAGAGCAGGGCCAGCGATGTGTTCAAGACCGGGACACTAACCACAATCTCACTGCCCATTACCCCCCCCCCCCCCCCCCCCCCCCCCCCACTGCTTACTCAATGACCCCGTGTGTCATAACATCCCTGACTGTAAACCCTGCTGGAATCTGGAGCGTGGGAGGATAAAACAACTCACACACTCAAATCTTTAACTTCTGAATTGATTCGAGCAGATTGTGGTGTTAAAGAGAAAAGCAAGTAAAAGTGTAACATTGAGAAATTGTGTTGTTGTACAGTTGTGCCACACGCAGATGTGTTGTCGCCTGCCCGTTAGTAAAGTAGCCAGCGTTCGTTAGCTTCTCCCCTCTGTCGTCTTTCCCACGCGGTCCGTCGACATGTTTGTGTTTCTCCGTTTGTTTGAGGGAAGCCCATTTTTGTGTGTGTGAGGTCAAACGAGTGGTTGAACTTGTGCTCAACATCAAACACGTATTACGTCGGCGGCGTGTACCTGCGAACAAACTGAGGACGTCCTAGCCGGGAAAATAAAGAACCTGGAGGTCGCTGACCCCCCCGAGCCCCAAAGCTTTCACAACATAAAGATCTTAAAGGTTCCAAGATAATTAGAGAAAAGTAATTCAGGTCATTACTACTATTTCCGAAAATAATAATTATAATTTGTAGGTAATTGGTTAATACCTTATTTATTATGGCTTTAATTGCTTGTATATTAGTGAAGGTGTGTGATTGGAATAGTAAACACTTTGCAAGTTGTCGTTATATACGTCATGAGCTGCCTCCTCTGTGGCTCCAGCTGTGTTTTTCATACGTGAATCCACATTTCATGTCTGGAATAACACCGAGCGTATAAATCATGGGACGTCTTTTAAGGAGTGTAACTCTGGAGATGTGAGTGTTTAGACACACTGAAGCTACTGTAGCTGTTTTCTTCTGTTTCAAACCAAAAGCGCAGAGAATCAGTGAAACATCCGACGCTGGGCTGACGTTACAAAGTTCAGAGGTCGAGGCCATTTGCTCCACTTCTCCTCTCCCAGGGCCCTCGTACAGCCGGACCCAGAGAACACTCTACAGTTAAAGCCCATGATTCATCTCAACAGATTGTTTTCCTTTTTTATGCTTTTATCAAATCCATATGCAAGGACCGAGCTCTGAAGGGTTTCACAGTGCCAGAGAGAAAATATTTTTCTGAGAATTTCGAGTTTCACAACCGAGCTTCAGCGAGAGCGAAAACATTTCCTCGAGATTTCTGAGGAAAGCCAAACACACAAATCCCACTTTTCTGATTAGTGGAGAGAAAACATCCTCCCGCTGGATGGTTTCTCATCAACGGTTCAGGCTGTTATTCTTTGTCTTGTACATTATGTTTTTCCTACAAGATCATCAGCACACACACACACACACACACACAGGATCATTGAACTCCATGTTGTGTAAGAACAGCACTGACCCTTACTAACCTTCTCCTACTGCTCCTGCATGTTTGGTCTCTTCTGAACGTCCACACAGATGGAATGTGACGCGCTGAGAGAAAACACCATGAAACACGTACAAAATGTCATAATAGCCTCCAAAAACACAGCGGATCACGGTGAACGGAGGTAAACTGAT